ACTTGTAAGAATCATTGCTAATCCTCTGCAACCTCCTGGATAATATAGGACAATCTAATGTTTTTAAGATCAGTTGATTAGCAAACTTAATTCCATTGTGTAACATGACATAGGACTGAGGAGAGAGTGGGATGTTGGACATTTTAGAGAGACTTTTATTCTCCCCATGCAGCAGCCAGGTCACTTCTCTTTGAAACCTTGGCTCAAAGCTTATCTTCTCAATGAGACCTGCTGTTTATTCCTTGAGACTGCCACCATTATTTCCACATTTTTAGTCCACTTTCTCTGCTCTACATTTTCACTAATTTCAAAGCATGCTTTATCTAATAGACCACTTTCCTATATGTGTTTCTTCTTGCTCAGCTGTGCACATCTCCCATTGTGTGTGTGCGCACCCTGGTACTTCCTTCTTGTAGTCAGTTCCTCAAGTACCTAAAGCTTCCCTTAGATCCTAGTAGGTGCATGAAGATGTTTGTTGAATGGACGAGCAGGATGGGAATGGTGAGCAGATCTTTTTAATTGGATCTTTATTTTCCCATTGGCTAACATGATTGACTGTAATAAGCTTAGAACAAAGGGAAGGATTTGGGGCCCTGTACTCATCTTAATCCACAAACTTCAGAGCCTTTAATCCTGCCAGCTCTGGAACTCCAAACCTACAGACTGATATCAAGAGAGACTTGTTTGTAAAAAGAAGCTGTAAAAGCCAAGAGACAGTATTAGCTGCTAAGGAAAGTTTCTTGTGGTATTCCTGCAGCTAGTTGGTCTTTTGTTAAGCTCAAGGCCGCATATCTGAGTCTGAGGTTGAGGAATTCATGGAGCTGAAGAGATAAAGTGGTATAAGGTAGAGAGTTGATGGAAGTTTGATGATCCTGCAGACTCTATGAAACAAAGAACTTTGTAGAGAATACACTAACTTGTTCATCCTTGTGACTCATGGGTTATCTCTGGTTTCAAAGCTTGGTTAAATATTCCTGTTTACTTCAGTAAACATAGCAATGTATCATGAACATGTCATTGTAAGGATTTCAGAGGGGGATGACAAAGCATTCACTGCAGGCATGGTGACCCTCAGATAGGTGACCCCTTCTGTCCTCAGGATACTTATTCTGCTCTCATCCTGCATGTCACTGCCTACTTTGTGCTCCAATTTCTTACTCTGAGTTCACTAAAGGAGGGTGCTTGATTAGGATTCCACTGCCCCCTAGCTATATCTTTTAAACTTTAGAGACAGGTGCCTTCTTTTCACCTTGTAACTTGAACTTGGTGTTTAGAGGAAGTCTTAATATGCAGAGGGAAGACACTGAGCTGATTCTGCCCTGGTGGTGTGCACCTGGAGATATTGAACTTGTAGTCCCATGTGAGTGTGGAGTCCAAGGTCATTGTATACAAACTGGATGTTTTAGTCTGAGAGAGATGCTTGTTCTTGCCTCTAGCCATGATTCTTTTTAGAGACATCATCTGTATTTGCCTAACATTCTTAGCCAATGTCAAATTAAAACCATTTAAGACCTGTGACGTAAGAATAATGGGTTTCTGAGTTCCTTTGCATCAAAATCTATTTTCTGTTTGCATTTACTCTTGGCTTTTGACCATTTTGCTAAGTGATCCCTAAATCTCACATGGTTTGTCTCCATAACTGTACTAGACAAAGGCATGGAACTTGTGCAGTGTTTCAGGATTTGTTTTGACTTTTGTATTTTATAGATCGCAAGTTGAAATGACAGGTTCTTGAGGTCAAAATCACACAACTGATCACTTCAGAAATAAATGACTTCCTTTGCTGAACCATGTAACAGGAATTTGGATTTCAGTGGGTGGGAGTGGCTGGTAGAATGCACCCAAATTGGAAAATATGCTTTCATTGTTGTGTTTACTGTGAAATACGTTAAGTGGCATAGAGAAACAAGCTATTGAGTTTACACATATTCAGGACAGTGTGCTTCACCCTTTCAGTTCCTGAGTTTTGAAGGAATTGCTCCTGTTCTTTCCTTGTACAGATCCTTCAAAGGGAGTGGGGTGATCTTAGAGGAGATTCATGAGCAAAGCAAGAGAGTAAGGCACTGGGCTTGTCTGAAGGACAAGCGGGGCTCAGATGTCCAAGTTGCTAAAAGTAAAGGATGCAGAGTACTCAGTTTCTGTATCAAATATCTAGTGTTTGATTTGACAGACAGAAGGTGGCTGTTGATGGCTTAAGAAAAGCTTCCTGGAGAAGTTAGTGTGAATTAGGATGTGGAAGCACTTTTGAAGAGGCTGTAAATAACTTGAGTTCTTCGGAGGAAATATGAGCCTACATCAGTTTTATTTAATTCCCCACCCCCTTAATGTGGTAGTTATCAAACCCTGGGACTTAGCTCATGATAGATCAGTGCTGTACCCCTGAAGCAAATTCCCAGCCTGGGAATTGGTACCAGGATGGTGAACATAGCAATGGAGTGGGATGTTAGGGCACACTGAACCAGCCTTACTGCTATGACTGACTTGGGCACTTCTGGTCTCTATATTGGGTAGTGTTGAGACTTTAGAATCCTTTTTCCTAGCTTGGTCATAACACCAGGTGAACTTAGTGAGAATTCTCAGGATATTTTTAAGGTATTTTTAACTAGAGTCTGTCCTACATGGTGGCTGTCTGGAAGAGGTTTTAAAATAGCAAAGCTGATTACCTCAGTTTTCAGAATGTTTTTGTTGTTCTGTTTTTAAACTAGGGAGATTAGAAAATGGAGACTTTTCCTGTTTTCATATGTGGTCAGGAAACTGGTGGACCAATTTCTTATATTCCTACTATTGCCAGATAAGAGAAATAAATTAATAGTTTTGATCTCAGTACACAGTCATGTTAGCATGAAGTGTATGCAATTGAAAGAAACGAAAAAAGGGGGAGGGTTAAACAAATGTGGAAAACTTGAGTCCCTGTTGTAGGTAAACTATACAACCATGAAAAGATAAAGGCTACCTTCCTCCCTTCCCCGTGAGAACCATGCTCCCATCAAACTGTTCCTCACCATTATCTCTTGTAGCTCAGTGCAAGTATAGGATATTCTAGATTAATCTATGAGAGTGTCTTTTCATAAGTTATTGCGCTGAGAATAACAGGATGAAAAGCAGTCTGAGTTGGCACGATTGATGCCTAAATTAAGAGGTGAACATATATGAAACATTATTTTTTTAAGCCTTAAAATTAATGGCTCTGTTTCACTGGAATGTGGCCTTTTTTCCTTTCCAACAAGCCTCAGAGCCTGTGGATTCTATAAATAGTGCACAGCCGGGTTGTCTGTGGTAGATTGAGTGGAGCAGAATCACCTGTCCTTAAGTGAAGGGGAAGTAGCTTTACATTTTTAGTAACTGGATTGTTGGCCAGCATAAAGGTAAGGGCCATGTGAGCAGCTTATTTATAACTTCCCATAAAGGTGTGTGTCTGCCTCAAGCGGAGAGACTGTCTGGGTGCTGGGAACGTAAAAGTGCAGTGGAATCATTTTCCATCAGCAGCCTTTCCAACTTAGTTGTTCAGTAAAGACTGCTTGCATCCCTGGGGCCTTGCAAAGGAGGAGTGTCAGGAGATCAGCTCGTTAGTGTTGTCTCCTATGGAAGACAGGGGATGAGGCCATTGAATCTGGTTTTATCCGTGATTTTAGGTAAGGAGGAATATATGGATATTAACTCCTGAATGTATCCTGGATATACATCTTGTCTTGGTTTAACCTGTTGGGTGTGGTTGCCCTACTCCACCACTGGGCTCTTGTCAACCCGTTTCATGGTTATAAATACTTTACTCTCTCAGGTTAACTGTAAGATGAACTGTAAGATTAAGAACACAGGGTCAGACTGACTTCTTTGGCTACAGTGGGAGAAAGGAAGAACAGCAAAGCATTTTCATGCATCCAGCGAGGAGTCTTTAAGTCCTTTCATAGATGCCAGAGTCCACTCCATGTTCGCATTCCATGTGGATCATGTTCAACCAGGCTTTCAACTCTGAAGTTGAAAACTTAAAATTACTAATGTAAGGGGACTTTTTTTTTTTTCAGCCTTCCTTTGTTCATTATTGTTTCTGAGCCTGAGTTTTCTGATTGCTACGTTGGTCATTTTAAACATGTGGATGTATAGCTAAAAAGTAAACTTGGACCTTTGGGCCACTAGCACAGCTCTGTTTAGTTTTCAGGCACATTGAAGTAAGGGATAAACGGCCCAGTAATGCTATTGGCGGCCCCATGGCAGCACTCGTTTCAAAGCATGCTGGGTTCACAATTTACATATTATGAAAATGTTCATTTGATTTCCTTCAGGGACAAAGCTGACAGCCTATGCAATTACTACTCCTCCCCATCCCCCCAAAAAATCCTATTTATTGGTCCAATTCTTTCAATTGAAAGATGCCGGTTTACTACCTCTTAGTATATGTAAACTGCTTTTGGTGAAGCTGGTAGAGACTAGTTTCACTGTAGTGTCAGAATAACCACAGGGGGCTTGGATTCCCTTTTAATTTGGAGTCCCAGGATTAAGGATCATTTGTAGTATAATGTAACAGTGTGGGCAAATACAGCTTCACTTCATGCCCCTTTGATATTTAGGGGAGAGAGTGCTTTTGTGCAAAGCAATCACTTATGAATCGCTTGACTGCTTTTCTCACTAAAATTTTACTCGCATTTCCTCCCTTCTCCCACATCCCTAAGAGAGGACTGCATGTAGTATTTTCATTTTATTTAATTAAAAAAAAATTTTTTGAAATGGAATTTAAGGTAGTTTTTAAAGATAGATGCCAAGATAACTAGTTAATATTGTTTTAAAATCAAGTTTTTAATTATAAATACTTACATTTATGCAAGAAAACTACATGTGGAAATAAATTTGGAAGGATTAGATTGGAATTGCCTCAAATTCAATTAAGCCCCACTGCATGGCCGTGCTGGGAGTATGAAGACAGTCACTGTAAATCTGTGCAAGCTGACGTGTTGCATTACCTTGCTCTAATCTAACGTATGGTACTTTTTGTGTCCATATTGCAGACGGCAACTCCAAACTAACATGGCAGTCAGACTGTGTGATGTGGCTTCTCTGCTTAGAAGCGGTTCGTGGGCAGCAGAGCCTTGGACCGGGGTCTGTGGGATTTTTCTTAAATTCTGTAGGCTACTTTTTTTTTAGCATGTTGCAGAAGTGCCGAGGCCATACCAAACACTTGAACCTTTAATTTGGCATACTAATCATTCTTACCTACTGTGGTATGGCCATCATTAAGAATGTCAAAGCACATTGCAATTTTAACCGTGGCGGTAGATGTAGATCAGAACCGTGCTGTTGTTATATGTAACTGAAATAATCAAAATTAGGATATAGTGCAGACTCAAAAGAGTGACAAGCTTGTTTGAAAAAACAAAAACAAACAAAAGTTTTGGTATGGTCTGAATACTAAGTTACCATAATTCTTTACATTCTGTTTACTATGTATTTTTTTGGTTACTACATTTTGAAGTTATTTACAATTCCTGATGCTAAAAAAAATTTTGAAATTGTAAATCTGGCTGAAAATTATTTGCCCAGTAACTGTTGGAAGACTGTGCATTCTGTGAACAGTTGTGTTGAGCCTATCAATGGAATATGCATTATTTGGAAAATATAGCACATTAGTATCATTTTATTCAGAGCAGATGGTCCTATAGCTGAGAGATGCTGTGATTCTCAGTGCACACAGCCTACTGCAGCTGTTCACTTGAATGTTGGCTTAGGAGCTCATTCTTGCCACCTGAACGTGGAAATAAATGTGCAATTAAGTGAGAGTGTTTGTTGTCCTTATTAAACCCTGTTAATTTCAGTCAATGAACATTTATATTTCACACGACATCCCAATGAGCTCTAGTCCGAATCTCACATTTGGGGTTCTTGTACTTTGTGCACATACCCTTACTTTTGAGTGGTGGTTTATTTTAATAGGCCTTGACCACTCTCCTCTTGCAGGTCATTTTTTTTTATAGTTGTGGAGCAGAGGTAGCCCTATGAGAATTTTGCTGTGAAAAGAGTAATTCACAACTAACCCACAAACTGGAACAGTCACACTTGTATTAACAAAATCTGAAGCCTCCCTTCTCATTTTCAAGTACTTTGTCATTTATAATATCTTGAAATATTTTGATTTTTTTCTATATAAATCCAAAGATTTATTTATTATATTACTCTTTAAGTATTCACTGAGAATACTTACCCAAGAAAAATAGTTTAAAACTTGATGGGGGCGGGAATTGTTTCTTCGGAAAAGAAATGAAGCTGTTGAAAGGTTACAACTTATTTGACTATTTCCTGATTACTCTGCTCGAGTCTGTTTTTATCCCCACAGCACTGATTCTTGTCCAGTCTTGACCAGTCTGGAGCTGGTCAGTTGACCAGTCTGTCTGGTGCTGCTTTCTTATGTAAACATCTCTTGGCAATAGAGATTTTATATCTGTAGACGTACCCTTTTATTTTTCTTAGGCAATTTGAATTTGAAAAGACATTTTCCCTATTCCCTTAATAATCAGCCATCTTTCCCTTCTGCTTTGCTTTTTTTTTCTTTTATCAAATTCTTTGCCTTTCCTATGTCAAAGCCTCCTAAAGCTAGCATGCTCTCATTCAGAGTTGTCAGGTTTGAGCAGTTCTTTGGGGAGCTGAGAGGTGTATTGGATGAGACAGAGTGTAATCTTTTCATTGATGCTTTGAGTTTTGGATTCCCCCATAGTCTTGGCTGTCCAACGTTGGACAGTTATTAGAAAATGCTTTTGGAAAACTTGGGGGTTGTGGTTTGTGACTCTTTTGTTCAAAGACCATCACATTGGTTTTAGGAGACATATCTCAAATTGTATAATAACTGATTTTTAGAGTAGTTGGAACTTGTGAGGAAATTTTCCCCTATGCTGCTATTCATCTGCTGTTTGGTTTATGGACACCTTATTACTTGCACTCTCAACAGCCTTGGGCTGGCCTGTTTGGAGAAGTTGGTGTATTTATATTGTTGCTTTGGTGAACTGGATATGTGTTTTTGGTCTTAAAATTAGAGTCAAGGCAAAATATTATCCTGAATTGTTTGTGGATTCTGTTTTGATGCTATAGATTAGTTACTTGGTGGTCACCAGCTGCCAAATTGACAAGAATGGCCGAATAGTCTACAAATGTAGACAGAATATTCATAGCTCTACTCCCAAGCTAACCTACCCTTTCACTCCTGAACATATAACATCTATTTTTTTATTTCTTACCAATGATAGAGGTACAGAATAATGTTAATCAAAAACATTTCAGTATGTAACCAAAACAGTACATGTTGACAATTTTATTTTTGAAAGTACCTTTGCTCCTTGATTTTGTTAATGGATGCCTGTCAGTCTTAGATAATTGACTCTTACGAACTGAAGAATCCTCTTCAGAGTTAATATGTCATTTTTTTTTCATTTGTTTTGGCAGCATGTTAAGTATTTTTATTTTTAGTCAGGATGCAGTTCTGTGCCCTTTGGTATTAAATTGCTTCCTCTGTGGACACCGCAGGTGAGTTGAGGGTATATGTCTAGCCCCAGGATATGAGTCTAGAAGATGATTAAGATTGAAATTGTGCTTATGTGCATGTATGGAATATGTATGTGGAAGTATAATTGTAGCCTTAAATTGAATAGCTTAATATGAAATACAATTAGCGTAGGTGCTGCACTTTTTGTTGAAGCTTTATTGTAATTTCAGCAGAACGACTTTGTTTAGTGACAAGTGTTTAACTCTTGGGTGGAATCTCAAATAGCTTGTGAAATATGAATTCTGACATTTCTTATTTTCTCTGTTTTTAGCAGGTAATTGCTGCCATGGAAACACAACTGTCTAATGGGCCAACTTGCAATAACACAGCCAATGGTCCAACCACTGTAAACAACAACTGCTCCTCACCAGTCGACTCCGGAAACACGGAGGACAGCAAGACCAACCTAATAGTCAACTATCTTCCTCAGAACATGACACAGGAGGAGCTGAAGAGTCTTTTTGGGAGCATTGGTGAGATAGAGTCCTGTAAGCTTGTAAGAGACAAAATAACAGGTATGCATTTTTATGTAGATGGGTGAAATGTAAAGAACTATGGGTCAGGGTATGAGAAAATAATTTTGTATGTATAAATCATTCAGTGCTGAAGCTTTACATACCTAAATTTTCTGTTATGGTATAAGCAATATGAAAGTAGTTTTAAGGGTTTATTTTAAACCATAAAATGCTTTTGGGGGCTGTCTTTGATTTTATTTTATTTTATTATTATTATTTTATTTTTATTTTTTGCTGTTTTTTTAAAGACAGGGTCTCACTCTAGTACAGGTTGGCCTGCAGCTCACTATATGGTCCATGCTGACTTTGAATTTGTAGTAGTCCAATATTAGCATGCTGAGTGCTGAGATTGCAAGATGAACCACCATGCCTAGATAGCAGTATGTATTTAACCTGGACTATGAATATATTTTGGGACAGTGCTTTTGGAAAAACTTGTGTGTGATAGCAGCATTCAGGTTAACCTTTGTTTTTTCAGTACCCCTGACCTTGCATAACTGAGCATTTCAACAGTAGCTACAAGGAGACTATTTTGTTTTAGAAAGGGGAAAAAACCCTTATGATATTCTTTGCTTTGGTCCTTATGCTTATAATATGTGTGATAAAGTACTGGCTAATACCTTTTCACTATCTAAACAATTGCACTGATAGAATTAGAGACTGATGGGACTTTATGTTATATTCCTTGACAAGGAAAGAATATGTGGCATGAGCATCCTTTTTATTGTAAAGATGAAGAGAAAAGGATGAGAAATTGGGCCTAAGTGATGGCCCGTTTGGCTGAATTTGAGTACTATGTATTTGAAAAATCTCAGTATGCTTTTTTAAAACAATTGAGTAAATTCTTATTTAAACTCAAACCTATTTAACAAACATGTTCTTGGGACAGAAGTTAATGTTTCCTACTAGAATTGTTTAAAAATACTAAAACCATATGACATTAAGTATAGATAGACCTTGTAGGTCTTTCATGTTGTGAAATTTGGTGGAACATCAATTGCTTTATGCAGTTTATAAACAAACTTACCAACTAAGTTTTTGTTTGTTTGTTTTTTGTTTTTTTTTCATGACAGTTTCTCTGTGTTGTCCTGGCTTGTCCTGGAGCTTGCTCTGTAGACCAGGCTGCCAGGCTGGCCTTGAATTCAGAGAGATCCACCTGCCTCTGCCTCCAGAGTGCTGAGATTAAAGATGTGTGCCACCATCTCCTGGCCAAACTATTTGAAATGAATAAATGTTCTTTAAAAGTGGTGTGAATGATGGGGCTAGAGTTTGACTGCTTAACTGGTCATGTGACCATGGACAAGTTAGTTCTTGGCTTCACCTCTGGTTAATTTAAATTGAGGGCATCAATCATATGGGGGTCATTTAGGACTAGTTGAGATGATACTTTGAGCAGCTCTGTAATCGAGGCCTTGGTACTCATTTTTTAAAGATCTTTAAGTGCCTGGATTCAATGTCTGTGTTTGAGCCTCACTGTTCTGTTCCCTGATGCTACAGATTGAAGGCCACAATAGTTTATCTGTTCCCATCAGATTAAAAAGAAATCCGTTGCTTACAATACATACTGAATAATCCTATTCTTAGCTAATTATGTTGCTTCTGGGTTCACCATATTACCAGGAGGACCCTTCGGTTGTTGAAAACTCAAACTCAAATGGATCACATTTTCCTTCAGTCCTTTGTGTGTGTTGGGAGTAGTGCATAATGGGGATTGAACCAAGGTCTTCATGCACACTGTAGGCAAGGGTCTATCACTGAGCTACATTCCTGTCCGTTTTCAATTTTCATTTGCAAACTGAGGACTAGCAGTGTATCAAATTAATAGAGAGATTTTGAAAGTTGGGACAGGCAGAAAACAATTCTGTCCCCTATATTGGATTTTATCTTTAATTTTTTTAGTAAAGCTATTTTTTTGCTTGTGAATTTTTTTAGGCTACTTGAAATAAGTAGTAAAGTATGATAAATGGCATGCAGGCTATAATATCAATTTCTGTGATTTCTAGTTCGATTGCTTGGTGGCAACCCTACCGTTATAAGATGAAGATGCTTGAATAGTGTATAAAAAAAATCACATTTCTTTTTTTATGATACTGGGAGTGGTAAGTGAAAATATTAAATAACTCATCCATCTTTCATATTAGACATTTGCCACAGAAAGCATCTTAGGGGATTTTCCACATCTTATCCCTGGGCAGACTTGAATCATCTTATTCTTCCATAAGCTCTTTACAGGGCTGTTATGTATAATGGGGTAAATTTGAGTTCTGAGTCTTCATATCTGTGCACTCTTAGGATTCAGTGTGGTGAGCAGTGGTAATGTAATGGAAACATGTGGCTTACCTCAGACACACAGATGTTGAAATGGAATTGATTCTTGAGGTCCCTCTGCTTTATTATTCTTGCAGTCATGGAGATTTCTAGGATAGTATAAAATATCAGGTAAGCCTATGAACTCAGAGTGGTGTGCAAAACCTGTGCAAGCCCACGCTAGACCAAATCTAGCACGGAGAAGGGAGTTGGGCACACAATCCCACCCCTACCTCTGGAGTGATTTGTGGTTGTTAGCTACTGAGAAAATAAGGGTCATTTTTCTCTTAAGAGTGTAGCTTCTGGTAAGTTGACTACACTCCAGTAGAAGACCATACATGTAAGAATATTTTGGGCAAAACATATTTAAATAAAGGATTTACAAAAAAATCTTGAAGGGTTTAAAAAAAAAACAAAGGGTACAAAGTCGGGTGGATAGAAAAGGCAGGGAGTGGATCTGGGAAGACTTAGTGGGGTGAAGATGGTGAAAATGCATTGTATGAAACTTGAAACTCTTAAAGAACAAAGAAAAACATAAAATTGGAACTGAGCGTGATGCTCACTCCTTTAATCCCAGCACTTAGGAGGCAGAGGCTTGTAGATCTTTGAGTTCAACAGCAGCCCTGGTCCACAGAATGAGTTCCAGGACAGCCAAGATCTATACAGAGAATTCCTATCTATAACTTGCCCCTCCCTGAAATAATAATAAAATAAAAATAAGTTAAAATCAGAAGGCCCAAAATATTTTAATATGGGGTAAATTTAATATTTGCCAGCAGACATTACTCTTTACACTTCAATTTTAAAATTTCCACTTGAAGTTCTCTTAATAAAGTCACTGAGAAGACAAGGAAAAAAAATTATTCAGAGAGCAAGTAGCAAGTCCAGAGAATGCCACAGCAGGCATCATAGTCATACTGTACTTTTCCAGTTCCTTTCCTTTGAGAGAGTTTTTGCTATGGAGCCCAGGCTGTTATGGAACTAGCCGTCATCCTGCCTCAGCTTCCCAAATGCTGGGGATCACAGGTATGTGGCGCCGATAAAGGCTTTAAAAGCTCTCAAAATTATCTAAGCACTTCTCAGAGAGTTTAGTCTAAGGTTCTTGCCTCTTGGAGTTTGATCAGTGATGATGCCTGTGTTCCTATGATGAGCACAGTGGTAGGGAAGTATAAGTCAAGAAGCCAAGTAGTAGGAAAGACTAGATTGAAACAAAAACTCCAGGGACCCAGAGACTTCACAGGTGTTGATCACCCACGGTTAGGTGTAACACCTTGAATGTTAACAGAGGTTGTTTCCTCCCCTTTAGGGGGTGGTGGTGGGGAGTGTAACATAATTCATAACTTCCTAAGAACTTTAAAGCTGTTTTTTCATCCTTGTTTGTTCTACCAGAACACTGATTTTCAAACATTTTACAACGGGATTCTCCGCTTCTTTAAAAATAAATGCACTCAATCTTAACTCCTCAGAATTGAACTAGATTAATGGTATTTTATTAGTCTAATAGATACCTTCAATTTAATAGCATTTGTTTGCTGGGATGAAGTCAGTCATGGCAGACACAGGCTGTTTTGATGAATGTTAATTTGAAAATACAGCTCTGTAAATCAGTTATTATTTGGAACCCATAGAGTATCAGGTGATCAAGAAGAATTCTGAGACAAGTAGATGACAACAGCAGGGTGGCCAGGCAAGTGGGTGTGTGGTAACTTTTTTAAAAAAAGTCCATTCTGAGCCTCTGTGTTTAATCATAAGGATAGTGGCAAGGCTGCATGTGTTCCCAGGCACTTTGTAGGTACCTATCTATCCTGCAGAATTTATTTTGAGAATTTTAGAGGCTAAATTTATAAAATGACATTTGTATCAAATTTATGGAACTTCGATGAAAGTTTGCAGCATCTCTAATCATTAAAATACACCAGAGAAACTTGTAGATTTTATCAGTATATTATTTTTCATGTACATTTTTCCTTTCTGAAGGTCTAATGATATACTGATAAAATCCACAAACAAATTCATAAGCCTTTGCCCAAACCTTTGGGACAAGTTTCTGTACTGTTAATATCATACTTTGAGATGACTAATTAACTTGTCCCAAAGGTTTGGACAAAGGCTTATGAATTTGTTCCAGACTCATTTTTGTTGTGTACTCAAACTGGGTACTCAAACTGTGTGGGGTGGTAGAGTATGGTGCATCTGCTTGTGCTCGTGTGTATGTGTGTGTGTATGAATGCACGTTCTTTTGTTCTTGAATATACATGAAGGTCAGAGCAGGACATCCAAATTGTTCTCCATGTTGTTGCCTTGAGATTGGGTCTCATTAAACTGGAAGCTTGTCTATCAGCCTTGGTGGGCTAAATAGGGAGCTCTCAGGATCTGCCTGTCACTTAATGGGTTGTTTTAACATGGGTGCTGGAGAATTTGAACTCAAGTCTGGATCTTGAAAAACAAGTACTCTTGCCCATAGAACTCTTTCCAGCCCAGTTTTAAAATACTGGTTTTTAATTCATACATATTTGTATATGTACATATGAGAGTGTGTGTGTATGTATGCCTACATGAGTTTATATACAACCATGTGAATGTAGGTACCTGCAGAAGCCAGAGGACATTGAATCCTTGGGACTGGAGTTATAGGTAGTTATGAGTCACCTGATGTGGATTCTGGGAACTGAACCTCTGGTCCTCTGCAAGAC